AAGCCAGACGCGCTCTGCCGGGTAAAGCCAGACGCGCTCTGCCGGGTAAAGCCAGACGCGCTCTGCCGGGTAAAGCGAGACGCGCTCTGCCGGGTGAGCGAGACGCGCTCTGCAGTGTCTGAAGTCTGCTGGCATTTTGTGCATTTCCATCAGTTGAGTGCAGCCATCTGTAGAGACGTATAAATGGGCTTCTCACCAGGCCTGGTATTAAGCGACCCCTTCAGACCTGACCATGGGGGGGGGGGGGTTGGGACCAGTCTTGCTTCTTAACAGTCAATCTGTTGCCCTGACTATGCTGCCTTCTTGGAGCTCCTCTCTCTCTCTCTCTCCCTCTCCTGGGCTGATCCTCGAACAGTTTGACCTTCTGAGGATTTGTGGTACCTTTCTGTCCCATAAGTTACAACGTGCCCTTTAACAATACAGCTACTACGCTGCGGATAGAAGAATTTGGGTAAAGGCAGCTCAGGTGCCATAACAGTGACCATGTCCCCAGCCCAGATCCCACATTTGCTCCTGCGTAGATGCTTAGTACCATAAGGTGTACAGATCAGATGTGCCAGTCGCAGAGGATAGTGGAACACAATTGAATCTGCTGGGTATCCTTCATTAGCATTTATGGGGGGGCTTAGGGACTTCTCCCTCCCCAGTAATGCTGTCTGGGCCTCAGTGCCCAGTCTGCTTGGCTAAGGGAGGAACAGACCAGCTGAATCAGCGGGGGCTGTTAGTGAGACGAGCTTGCGGGGTCCATCAGAACCTTCCATCACCCCTGGTGTGAGTTTTACTCGTTCCAGCTGGTCATGGGGGGGTGAGGGGAAGGGGGGGCAGCCTCAGTGCCATAAAGCTCCCCTGGTTTATGAGCCAGTGGTATATCGCTCCTTATGGAGTGGCGGTCATGTCACAATGGCTCCATGCCCGCCTGTGAGGTACTACTGGGAGCCATAGATTTATAGAGATGTACTTGTTACCAAGTCAAGATGACCTCAAATGGTTGGGTGCCATAGTTACATTTTATCTATATATAATGGAAGTAGCACGATGCATATACACTGATGAAGAGGTGACAGCTTAGTGGGCTCAGTCTCAGTGCCTGTGATCGGAAGGTCGCCGGGTTGAGCCCCGGCCTCGGCAGAACAGTCACAGCGAGGCCCCTAAACCCCAGCTCCATGGCTCAACCTCACTTGTGACCCTCAAACTATGGATAGCAGGATGGGGCAGGTGAAGAGAAGCATTCCAATGTACCTGTAATCGTGCAAATGGCAAATAAAAAGCATTTATGTGTTTTATTATTTAGGTACAGCAGGTCCGTTTTGCTTTTCTGAACTGCAGAACTTCCTGTAAGATTTTGATGGGAGTTACTTTGCTTCCCATTCTGGTCACAAGTCATCGTCCGGCCGAAATATGCTTTAACTCGCAAAACGACCCAAAGCCTCGTGGATCTGGGTCCTGGTGAATCGAAGCTGTAGTCTTATCCCTGGAGGGGCTGTGTTAGGTTTGCGGTGAGTGCTCCAGGGGACAGTCAGAGCGGGAACTCCTAGTTCTGTCCTTCAGAGGAGGAATGTACACAAGTGTCATTCGCCTGGTATTTTTATTCTGGCCCCCCGGTGCAAACGCGCTCTCATGTGTCCGTCTGCCCCCCAGATCACCTCCGTCTGTAACTTCTTCACCTACATCCGCTACATCCATCAGGGCCTCGTCAAGCAGCAGGACGGTGAGTCACCGGCTGGGAGCTCCGGGTGTCACCCTTTCACCCTGTGGGTCGCTCGGGGATACGTATGAGAAGCCTCAACGTGTGAATGGCGACCGCTGTCCATTGTGTCACATGTGGATGATCCATTTCCTGTTCTGTGATCTTGCCTCATCTCTCTGACTCCCGTTTCTTCGTTTCCCAGCTGAGCAGATGTTCTGGGAGGTGATGCAGCTCCGGAAGGAGATGTCTTTCGCAAAGCTCGGCTATTACAAGGATGATCTGTGATGGGAGGGGGGGGGGCGGCACGGGACCTCATCCCGATCCTCCCCGAGATGGACGGGAAGCGGTCTGCTCACCTGGCTCTCACGGGCAGCCTGCCACGGCCCCCAGTACCGCCTCCACCCCGCGACTCGTAACCACGGATACATCCAGCCACGGGACGGCTGCGGACTGAGCTATAAGCCAGGCTGACATTCGCGGTATACCTTCACGTTGAGATTTTAAAGTGGCAGACGCTGACGCGAGGCTGCTGCTCAGTCCGATGACATGATGTGTTTTGAGATGCTGAATAGATTTCTCATTTAAAAAAAAAAATCTTTAGGGTTTGAACCAGTCTGTGTTCTTTTGCGGAACAGTGATTTCAAAAGTACAATGGAGGAGACTGATGATATGTTGGAAATTGTGATTTTTAGACTGTACAAATGAATGGTGTCCAGCTCATTAGTTCTCAAGCCCAATCAGCTGGCAAAATGTGGCAGTGAAATTGTGCGTGTACATGTACAGGAAATGTGCTGTATGTTTGTTTTACCTGTCTGTTCGTAAGACTTTTTTTTTTCTGTTTTTCTTTTTGCACTCTGATCTTACAAAGCTTTCCTTTATTTTAGTGCCTTTCTGGAACATACTGAATAAAATTGTATACCTCTGGAACACATAATTAAGTGCAGGAAGAAAAGTGTGGGGGGAGGTTCTCCTGATCGGAGACGCACGCAGAAAGCTTGACTTCCATGTCTGAGTAGATAATAGTAGGCAGCTCTTAAAACATGCCATTAGTGGGAGGGGGGGGGGGGCGGGGGAGTAGCAGAATGTCTGAGATAAACTGTGATGAGTGGTGGGGGTAGAAGGGACCAATGGCATGGCTAATAGCTGGATGACTGTGGTGGCTCAGTGGGTTTGGACACTGTGCCTGCAATCAGAAAGTCATCAGCTCAAATCCCAGGGTCAGCAGACCGATTTTGCCGTCGGGCCCTTAATTTGCATTTGCTCCTGGGACTGTCTGGCCCTGCTTGCTGAAAAATGTTTGTCTCTTTGGATAAAAGTATCTGCTAAATGAATAAAAAGTATTTAATTTCCTAATAATTAATAATTTAATACCTCTTTGGTAACAGAAGCCGAGTTTGTCTCACAGTCAGCAGGCGCTGGGATGTTCAGGGCCGACGTTGGCCATTGCTGTAGCTCTGCTTACAGTAGTGTATTGGTTTTAAAGTTAACAGTGGGGGTTTTGAACGTTTCACACAGGCAGACAGCGCAATACACTAACAAGCAATACTGCAGGCTTCATAACTTGACTGATGAAAGACGAGTCGCCAGTTGGGGTGTCACTGAGATTTGAAGGATGCTACGTTTCTCTTCGCGTTTGGTCATTGTGGCCGTTGGTTTGACGTCCGTGTCTCTGTGAGTCATCTACAGTCTACGCCTGCCTGGGTGAACTTGTTTAAGACTATGCCCTGGTACCAAGAGCCACTGGGGCTCTGAACATCCTTACTGTACGTCTTTCCCAGAGCAGGGCTGCATATCCTCACTGTCTTTACTCCAGTGTTTCTTTCCTTTAATTATGTTTTCGCCTCTAGAACTAAATACTATGAGAATTAGCAATGTTTTTGTTTACATAAATGCTTGTATTATCTAATATAGTGTCTTATAACTGCTCTAGGGAAGCAGAAACCAGGTGGTGTTTCATAAGTTAATGGTAATTACATATAAAACTTGGGTATGGTGACCTTTGTGCATCATATGCATTGTTTGGAGTTAAGGACCATTCAATATGCTGCAAAAAACGAACATAGGGACTAATAAGAGTGTCTTGGACCAATAGGAGCCGCGCATGTATGGAGATCTGCCGACCGATTGGTCTGTCGGTCTCCATGCTGTGTCAGGTACCTGCTGAACCACTGGACTGAGTGCTGTATGAAGCCTGCTGAGCCTTCTGGGTTGATATCAGGCGTGTCAGAGGCGGAGTCTGCTTTAGTCCGGTCCGTATCGGGGCCCTTCCATTTAGCGTACCGTCTGTTCAGTTATCTTCCAAGAATCATTCCTGCCGTTATAGCCAGAAGAGCGTAAATACAAATACAACCGTTTTTCCACATCTGCGTGGCTTTATCATTTATCAAACTGGTGGAGTGTCAACTATTAAAATATGTTTGGATACGTTGGGCTTACTTAACTCATTCGGGATGCCTAATTGCTAAATATATTTTAAAAGAAGTTTTGAAAAGCTTATGGAAGGATTTAAAAAAATAAAAAGAATTTCTTCTTCCAACTGTTCTCGCTGTAAGTTTCTCCACAGTTCTAGGAAACCAGAAATTTATGTAAAGAAGTCATAAAGCGTTTTGGTACTTAGCAGGTAAATGATTCATTCATAAATGTGACTAAAGTACGATGAAAAAGAACTCCAAGTTGGATGTTGTGATTTTAAGATCCTACGAATTAATGGTGTCTAGCTCTTCATTTCTCAACCCCAGTCAGCTGGTAATATGTGGCGGAGGGTGAGTGATACACTATCAAGCACACGGTAAAGTCGTCACCGTCGGTTTTCAGATGATTCCTCATTATACAAAACGCAGGTGATGCGGGTACTGAGGCAGACAGAAGGTTCCGGCGCGTCTCATGAGGCTGTGCTCATGACACCGATGAGACGGACCGATGGGTTTGCCTTGAATCCTCCCCATTTACAGTAGAGTCACATTGTAAGTTCTGCTTCCACTTTAGCCAAGGGCAGGGCTTGGTGCAGACACACACGCACACACACAAACGCACACATGCACGCATGCGTCAGGTATCTGAGGGACGCCCTCATCCCGGCGACCAGAGAGCAAAGTACACAAGAGACACGCAGAGGTGTCCTGACATCAGGGAAATACAGTAAACCTCTAAGAAAAATCCCAGCGTTGGCCCATACTTTCAGAATCACATGGCACAGCCCATCTAGATGGAAGAAGAATTGCTTTGGGGATAACAGCCCTGGGGATTACTGTCACTCCTGTGGCTGCAAATGGATTACACTTGAACTGTCACCCTGAACTCGGCGAGGGATTTGCGGCGAACATTCCCGACTCGGAACGCGAGGTAAGGACTGGCAGCGCCGTGGTCCTCTCTGCCACATGAATGAACAACGTACCACCCTCCCATTATGATACCCATTCCGCTCTGCACTCAGGCAGCTCAAGAACATTTCCTCACCTTCGACGTGCCACAGGGGCCATGTTTATGCCAGCTCATAGAATAAAGAAAGATGAGATTGTCGGTCGTTTCTCTTTCACGTCTCCGTAGCCCTGGAAGCAGCTCATGACAGCCGAAGCAGCTGTCGGCCAGGCAATACGGGTTCGAAGGTTTTGGCTGCCATTTTGAATGCCCTTTAGCTCACTCGCCAGCACGGCACCCATTTCAAAGCCTTAGAGCCTGCCGTACTGGTAATGTTATTCCGTTCCCTGGCAGTGAACCTGGCCTTTCAGCCTCCTATGTCGGGTTATAAAAACTATTGACGTGTTCATCCATAAATGCACTGAGAATGTATCAAGCCATCGGGGGTGGGGGGTGTTACGTACGGAATTTCCCCCAGGAGAACTCTTCTAAGAACCGGCATGAGGCAGCGTGGCTGAGACTCCCCAGTCATGTTTAAAATAGATCATATGTGTGCAGTGTGGGGTTTTTATCCTTTCCGCTGTGTAATGATCGTAGCAGCTGGCGTTTTATTAATTGACGGCCCGATCATGGAGGAACTAATGGGGTGAGTAAAGACTGGTTTACAGATTAGGTCGTGAAAGATGAATCAATCAGCCCTCACCTGTTTTCACACCCATCTGCAGCTAATACCATCAACACTTACTAAAAGAGGGTGATTTACTGTCAGGTCCTTTCATAAACTACAATGACTCCTCTGCTTGACCATAAATCAGTCACACAGAGAACCTGCCAGATGGTATAACCTCCAATCCTCCTTTAAACACACTAAAGCTCCATCACACAAAGATCTGATCCTGTCTGGAAGTGAATACTTGAAAGTTATGGCTTTCTTATTACTACTATTACTGTTTATTGATGCCTCAATATGTTGAGTTATGGGAATGGATGGAAGTGAGGGCCTGCAAGGCCCCGTTCTCGCCTAATGGCGCTTGTCCAGTAACAGGCTTCTGCGGCAGGCAGGCAGCCCCCAGGCCATGGTGGACCCCACGGTGACGAGAAGGGGCCAGATGGACGTGTTGGGAGAAAACGAGGCTCTTCAGCAGTTTTTCGACAGTAAGATGACTTACCCGTTTGCCAACTCTGTTGTTCTGTTGTTCCTGTTGGTTGTGTTGAAAGTACAAATTCAAAGGTGCGTCTCTGCTCTGCTGGTGCATTTTCACAGTAGCCATGTTTGTTCATGGTGCTGTTCAATGCAGAGCATTAATGTCATTCAGCTGGAAGTAACAGCGCAAAGTGCGATTGGTGGAGTGGGGTGGGCGGGGGGTAGATTATTCCAGAACATTAAATCCCATGGCTGTGTCACATGGATTACTGCACACCTACTTAGGACACTCTGGCTCCAACAGTGTGATCAATAAAGATCTGCATGTGGGCAGGGGGGCGGGGCCTTTCTTCTGATTGGCCAGATGCCTTTCTTCTGATTGGCCAGATGCCACTAAGTGCAATGCAGTTTTATAGCTTCCTTTGAACATGTCCATCCCACTGTTTCATATGGTCTATCAAATAGGGTTCAGGTGAAGGAATCAGACCAAGGACCAGGCAGACTTTCCACGCGTCTTTAGGCAACAGTAAAAGAGATTGCTAACTAAAACTCATGTAAAGATGTCACTTGGAATCTGTGCTTCAATTCTTGGCCAATATTTGCCATGGCACAAAGATAAATTCTAACTTTGACTGGTTATCAATCAAATTTGTGAAATTGGCTTCCAGGGCCTGGATTATGGACAGATATGCAGGATTTTTATGGGACTTACACCCAGATCATGAATTACTCTGATTCTGCACATGGTGGCCTGAACTCTCACCCCATATTCCTACACAGCTCTTCTCTGCTGTGAGGCTAAAATAAAACACCTTTGCATGTGGATAGTGCTATTACATCAAGTCCAGAAGCTTACTTAGCAGATCAACATGAAACATGAGTCCGCCTCCGCAAATCAGGGGTGTGCTGTGCTTTTCCTGTGTCACAGGTGTTACCTGATAAATCTTGCAGTGCAGTGATTCACTTCCCAAGTAGTTCCTTCAACTAGAAATCAACAGGTGCTGACTTCAGCTGAAGTTCCCTGGTGAAGTTCTTAGCCATCTGGTTTGTTGGTTCGCATATCTTAACAGCAGTACCACTCCGTGTAGGTGCTGGCCCACTTGAGTCTGGAGCCAATCACAGGCACTCCAGACCAGGGGACACCCTGCCCATCAAGCGAGATAAATAACCTCTTTCTATAAATATCTGTACCCTTAATGTATAAATAGAATTAACCACGAATCTGGTGGCACTGCAGTAAGTGAAATCGATTCCAGTGAGCCCATCCCTCTGCTCCAGTTAGGGAGAGCAGAAGGTGATTTGGTGAGGCTGACGGCGATGACTGCTATCTAGGCAGGGTGGACGGCCTCTGTGAGCAAGGCCACTGGCTTGTAAACGAGCGACACTGCAAGTAGATCAAGGCCAGGTGTCTGCTTCTTTCTCCTGTAGTTCAACAAGTAGAGCATTGTGCTACTAGTGCAAAGGTCATGGGTTCAAACCATTGGAAGAATGCTTACATTGTTACCCTTCTCTGCTTTAAGTCGCTTTGGATGAAAGAATCAGCTAAATGAAATGCTTTGTCTCTAACGTCACGGTTACCTCGGGGTTGCCAACTTTGGTCAGCTGGCTAGTGCGAGATTTTCAAATAAAGGCAAGTCTGCACACACATTTACATGTATGTATTGGTTTTATTACCTTGTAAATAGTCTGTAGGGTTTGCAAAGTCCCCCAATGCTTTTTGGTGTAGCTAATTTTAGCTTTATAATGGAATATTTAAGATTTGCTGAAAGATTTATTGCGCGAGCATGACAGTCTGAAAGTGTGAGTGTCAGGCCAGAGGCATGAGAGTTGGCAACCCTGGTTAACGTCAAAGTATCTTTTCGTAGCCAGAAATTCGAAACCAAATATGACGAATATGTACTTGATTTTAAATCTGGTTAAATAATAACTTTCTCTTTGGTATTTGTTTGCTTAAGGGTGAAATTTGCTTTCAGTAATCAGGGGGAGAAATTTAAGCACTCCTTCCTCATTCATTACTCCAGCGTTGACCTCAGTAAAGATGACAAGGCTGTTTGTGGGTCTAAGTCTTGCCATGATGATTTGGAATGAGCTGTCACCTATTGCTTTTTTCCCCCTGTTGTGTAAGTGCCGTTTCGTGTTGTATCGATGAAACCTTCATTAGAGCCAATTTTTCCCCTGATAAAAGCCTGGAATTTCACTTTCCTTATCGCACGGCCGACCCCAAATAGCTCCCACGTGTTGATATGCCAACTCTGGGCCTCAGATTAACGGAGACGGAAACCCTAAACTGAACACAGGAGAAGGCGTTCCTCGTTCCTCACTGAGGGCTCTCCTGCCTCTTGGCTGCAGGCCAGGATGTCAGCGGGGTGCTGGATAACGTGACGCTGGACACCAGGATGCTGGATAACGTGACGCTGGACACCAGGATGCTGGATAACGAGACGCTGGGCACCAGGATGCTGGGCACCAGGATGCTGGACACTAGGATGCTGGACACCAGGATGCTGGATAACGAGACGCTGGACACCAGGATGCTGGACACCAGGATGCTGGACACCAGGATGCTGGACACCAGGATGCTGGACACCAGGATGCTGGAACAGTACCTCAGCAATGACGTGGATCCCAGCACCTTGTGAGTGGCCACTCCCCCAAACAGAGACTCTCGCCCCCCCTCCCCCCGCAGAGACAAGTCCAATCCACAGTAATCTTTCTGTGCTTATGTCACCGACAGGGGGGGGGGGGGCACAGCAAATGCGTCACACAGAGAAGCTACTGACAGATGCCTGCCCCCATGTTCCTACACAACCTTTTCGTTCAGAAGACTGACATAATACTCACCCTCTCTCCTGTGTTCATTTTGGCTGTTTTGGTATTTTCTCTGTTTTAAAACAGCATAAGGCATTTTAATAATCATAGTTAATTAGTGTTATTAGTGTTAGCAGAAGTCACATAAATCACATCTTGAGCTGACTGTGAACATTTTGTAAATAAGTGGGACAAAGGATATTACAAATATAATCGTTCTCTTTAAAGTTGAAACAGTGAGTGAAAGAGTGAAAACAGCCTTCCTATTTGAAGGGACAAAGACGCTGGGACACTGAAACAACCAGTATTGAGAGAACTGAAGAAAATGCTTTGGAGATTAATTAATAATGCAGAAGACAATAGCTGTGAAGACAACAGCGTTTACACTAAAATGAAACCTGCGGTTTGTTCACTGTTTTTCTGGTTTGTCACTGTGTACGCAGTGTGAAGTACCGTGGTTACTCACTGGAGACTAACACAGTAGTGCACACTTTGATGTCAGACCTCAGCGTTACTCTGCCAGGCTGACAGCTCATGCACCCTGTTTTTTTTCCCAGCATGCTCCCTGATTCACCGCCAGATTCAGGATCGGAACCCTGCTCGCCACCACAAGTGCCAGGTGAGACCCACAATACACCTCCTCCTATCTTAGTGTTTTCATCCATCGGGTGACCTCTTATCCAGTACAGGATGGCGGTGAGCCTGGAACCCGTCCCAGGAAGCGCGGGGCGGGGGGCATCCTGGACAGGGTGCCGGTCCATCACAAGGCACCGGCTCACAAACACCCACACACTACAGGCTATTTAGAGACACCAGTTTTAGACTGTGGAAGGGAATCAGAGGAAACCCAAGAACACGCAGGCCACAACACACAGAGCCAGGGACTAATAAATATCAGAAAATGTTATGTTTTATATTAGATACTTTTCATGTTTGAAGAATAAATGAACCATATGTATTTTTGCATTGACTATGGCAATACGTTGCCTAATTATAGCATGTTGTTGTCGTCATGTGATCTATGATGTCATTTCCTCTTTCAGATATTCATTATGGTCCCTCCTGGCCTATTGGCCGGGTTGAACATGAAGTATTGTCCACCCTCAACCCTCCTACCAGCTCGGGGATTCACTTCAGAGACCAGCACCCCAGTCCCCAGAGCTCGAACCTCCATCTCCCCGGTCCCCAGTGCCCCACCCCCCACCTCTCGGCCCCGATGGACACCTTCCCCCTGGGCAGCTGCTCTCTCGCCCCCAGCCCGGTGCACAGCTCTCCTCCACCTCTGCACCACCCAAGCTCCGCCCACACTTATGCTCCAGTGCATGCTTCCACCCAGCTGCCTGATAGCAGGCTCCCCAATCCTCTATGGGGAGCCGCCATGCCCCCCTGCCCGGTCCAGACCACACCCAGATGTCCCAGCCCAATCCACCTGTATCCGCCTCCCGCTTCCAGCCAGCAGACAGGGTGAGACCCAGCGCTGGCTCACGGTTTTCCCTGATGCTCTGATGATGAGTAAATTATTAACGTATAAGCGTTGAACTATGAGCATGATGGCCATATGTGAACCTTGCTCCGCAGACCGGCTTCATGCAACGCCAAGAAGAGGAGGCATTCTACGGAAGACACTCCGGACCCCGGTGGGTGGGAGGACGCAGGCTGGACGTTAGGTAGGGGTCTGGTTGACCCATTCCTGCTTCCTTCCATCCTAGCTGAGTGAGCTGACTCTTGGGAACACAGTCGAAAAACAGTCACGTCCAAACATGCCAGCGTATCGGAATCTTATCAAAAGCAAGCCGCTCCTCCTCTTTTATAGGCGGTATTTAATGGTTCCTGTTATCGTTCCTGCACACTGTAATCATATCAACAGAGTTCTTCTCTTAGTAGGACATTCACTCATTTGCAATTCTAAGTACGTTGGTTATGATACCAATAAATCCTGAATATCCTGAGTGCTCCTGCAGCAGAGTTTATGAAGAATGGTCGGTATTTATGCTTTGAACCCTTACTCCATGTGCTTCAGAGGGTCCAGACTGCAGCAGAGGAGATGCGCCCAGCTATGGCAGTGACGTGGCAGGAGGAGGGGGGGGTCCCGGGCAGGGCGCCTACCGCATGCTGTCCTGGGACGAGTACCTGTCCGACCAGTGGGGCCCCCTGTACAATAGCAACTACGAGAGCCTGTAAGTAGTTTCTCTCTCCGGCTATCATCCATAACCGCTTACGCAGTGCAGAGCTGTGGTGCTCTGGATTTATTATTGCTTATATTGGTATTATGTTACTATCTGGTTACTCATTCGCGGAATGCAGGTGTAGCTGGACCTCCTTTCCTGGTATTGAGACGTTTTGTTTTTCTCTGCTCCTGCCTTTTCTTTTTAACATCAGCCATCATCATTCTCACACCATCCCACATTCCTAGGCCAGTCCCTGGTTACCACATCGAGTCGGACAAAGGCTTCAACTACTCCCCAGCCGACGAGGCCTTCGTGTGCCAGAAAAAGAACCACTTCCAGGTCACGGTCCACGTCGGCATGGCGGGGAGCCCCAGATATGTCAAGACCGCTTTGGGCCTCAAGCCGATCCAGAGCTTTCACGTCAAGGTTTTCGGCGTCAAGGTGAATGTTTCATACGATTAGTCTATGAACTATGAGCAGTACGTCGAGACGCCAGCCAAGAGGGACATCACAGAACACCATCACTCCACTTATATAAAGTAGCAGAAGATGTTTTTGAGGAAGATCAAATAATATATGGCTAGTAAATTCTGATAAAGGGTTTTGTGTTTATAGCAAGCTCATCATTCAGCCACAAAGTGCAACACACATATCCATACTGTTTGTTTACAAATATCACGTATCCATTGTGTAAAAACACGTTTGATACTGCAAAATTCGTAGAGCACTTTAGAGCAATTGTGCAGCTCTGCCATGCACTGGAATCCCATCCAGGATGTCACTTGCCCTGTGCAACCTGGGTAGGTTCCAAGACTACACCAGAAAGAGCTGGACATGAGGATACAGGATAATAGATAAGGAAGGAGGCCCAATTAAAGATCCATCCATCCATCCATTTAACCAACGAACCATCCACCTTCTAACCACCAACTAAGAAAAGAAGTACTGACGATAGTAAAAATCCCCGTATGTCATCTTGCCCGTCCCAAATATCAAGGATCAATTGCATTCTTGCCAAACAAGACCAATCTCATGATTCATTGCGGCCCAAGTTCTTGGGAGGCAAGTTAGCAAGACTGGTCTTACTAGGACCACACGTATGATCTTGTGTTCTTAGTATTGAGAAACACCCCCTAACTGTAGCTGGCTGTGACTTCCCAGCATGCTTTGCTTTCCCTGCAGATGGAGGCGCCAAGCCACCTGATCACCATAGAACAGTCCCAGTCCGACCGCAGCAAGAAGCCCTTCCTGCCAGTCAGGTGAGGCTCGTCCCATAGTCGTAAGACGAGAGCCGATCCACTTTCCGTGTCGCTAGGGGTGTCGGCCACGGAGACCCACGTGGCTGTTCAGCATTGCGTCGCGGATCCGTCGCTGTGGTGCCAATGGTTTAACTGGCATATTTCCCATCAGGGTGAGCATGCCAGGTGACAAGATCACCAAGGTGACGTTGGGCCGCCTGCACTTCAGCGAGACAACGGCCAATAATATGAGGAAGAAGGGAAAACCGAACCCAGACCAGAGGTGAGAGGCTACTGGCTTGTAGATATGGGCAGTTTAACCAAGAACTTTAAGTATCAGTGGCTATTTGTGTTGGGTTGATGCCCTCGGTGGTTGTTTATGGGCCCACTAGTGCATCGTGGCACATTTCATACCAGTACAAAAAAAAGGAACCGCATTCACAAGATACTTCTCATACTATTTAGAATTTTTTTTTAGTGCACCATGCCACACAGACGCGTTTCAGCGTCAAGCCGTTATCAAATTTTTTTTCTAAATAGTATGAGAAGTATCTTGTGAGTGCGGTTCCTTTTTTTGTATTTTGATGTCGTTAACTCGCACCCTAAGATATTTTTGAGATATTTTGGAGTTTGAGCGCGCCTATCTTTGATACATTTCATACCAGTAACACTTGGCATGGTGCCGACAGGTACTTCCTGTTAGTGGTGGGACTTTACGCCTGCCTGGAAGAGGAGCGCCACCTGCTGGCGGCTCACGTGTCTGAGAGGATCATTGTCAGGGTGAGTGGAACTTAGGTGGCTGATCACTGTAATATCACAGTTAGCATCCCTGATTATGGCGCTATGTCATCAGGTTTACAGCATCCCAGTTCAGGGTATTTAGCATATACATCTTAATTTTTATCGTTTACATAAATATGAATAAATGGGGAATAATGATTCTTTCAAATGCCCCCCATTTGCATACATGCTAGCATTATACAAGTCAATTTACTCTACTGGCTCTATTTTCTAGTGAAAATAGACTAATTGACTAAATGATATTTACTAATTCTTCCTGTTATAGCCTAATCTACACAGCATAAAACAAGGCATACGAAAACGGTGCTGATAAGATTACATAAAAACATGTTTTTTTGTGCCACCATAATTGACCCAAACTGACTAAACCCCTGCGAGTCGTCGCCTTCCCCTCGCCAGGCATCCAACCCAGGCCAGTTTGAGAATGACGAGATGCCGTGGCAGCGGGGGGCTGCTCCGGACGCGGTGGTGTGCCACGGCAGGGTGGGCATCAACACGGACGCCCCGGACGAGGCCTTAGTCGTCTGTGGAAACGTGAAGGTGATGGGCACGGTCATGCACCCGTCTGACCAGAGGGCCAAGGAGAATGTCCAGGAGGTATGGGCTAAGCCGCTAATCATACTAATGTCGGGCTAACTGTGCTTCCTGTGCTAGATGTCTTGCTTGTGCTAACCTGATTGGCTGTCTGTGCCAAACTCTTTATGTGGGAGATTGAAAGTTTATTAGCTTCTCACTGAATAGAGAGTTATGAGAACAGGATGCTATTTCACAATTGATGCCACTGGTAAATCATTGAATCTTTGCTTGATATTTCTACATATCTCAATGGACAAGCCTACAAGATTATCTTGCTGTTTAATTGTACAGGTGGACTCGAACGAGCAGCTGAAGAGAATAGCACAGATGAGGATTGTGGAGTATGACTACAAACCTGAATTTGCCACTAAAATGGGCATCAATCAGGTCCATGAGACAGGTACCTAGACTATGTGTGTAACTGGCCAAAAACGAGGCCTGTTTTTGTTAAGGGCTTTGGGGTCAATAGCTATGGAGGGACCTCACTGGCTCGGCTCCTAGCCAAACGCGGGGTGTAGATCCTGTGTCATTGTGACTCTCACAGGTATCATAGCACAGGAGGTGAAGGAGTTACTCCCCAGTGCAGTGAGGGAAGTCGGAGATGTCGTCTGCTCAGATGGAGAGAAGATTCCTAACTTCCTCATGGTGGACAAAGTAAGGCTGGGCTGCGGCAATCTGTGTAAGGCAGAGTGTGTCTATGGTTCATGGTGACTGCTCATGGAAGGAGAAGATAGGAGCGTGTGAGATAAGTCAGTAAAGCAGCGTCACGGCGAGAGTATGAGGCGGGAGGTAGATAGTGTAGCGAGAGAGAAAAGGGCCCCCACTGCCCGGTGGTTTGACACTCATGGGAGTTTTACTTACTCAAAAATGTTCTGAGGGCAAAACAAAAAAATGATGTTCAGAGAGAGAACCAATCAGACTGTAGAGAAGGTGGGAGCAATCATCTAAAGGAGGCGGGTCCAACCAATCACCCACCTCCTCTAGTTGCTTGGAACCACCTCCTCTACAATATGACTGGTCATCTCTCTGAACCAATCATTTTTCATTCTGCCCTCAGAACATTTTTGCATAAAACCCCCACAAGCTTTAAAGATATGGTGCTGGGGGAAAGCTTAGCAGAGGAGGACATCAGGTCCGTCCCCCCACATCCAGCACTATTCCCGGGCAGACTACAGGAAAGCCCCACATGCTGGTGAATATTTCATAAAGCGTGACAGTAGAGCTTGGTGGCGCTTGGTGTTTGACGTGAAGCCCCTCTCCCCCCTGGACCCTCACAGGAGCAGATATTCATGGAGAACGTCGGTGCAGTGAAGCAGCTGTGCAAGTTGACCGACAACCTGGAGACGCGCATCCAGGAGCTGGAGGTGTGGAACAAGCGGCTGGCCAAGCTGAAAGACATGGGCAGCCTGCGCTCCAGCGGGGCTGGCAGCGTGCACCGGTACGGGGGCCACAGGCCCGGAAGCCGCGTGGCTGTCGGCATCAGGGGCAATTCTGAGAGTCTTTTAAGGTTGGGGGCAATAATTCTTACAGAGGAGCCAACCTTCTCATTAGCCAATGATATGTTTTGATTTGGTGAGTGACAGGGAAGGCAGGACTTTGGGGGCCAATCAGATTTCAGTTGGGGCCAGTACACCTGTGACTCCACCCCTGTATAAGCTTCACCTCTAGGTGCGCAACCAACCACCTAACGTAGGGGTGCTGTAAAGAAGAGGAATGTTATTACATTTATGCCATAAAAAATAAAATGCAACATAATTCAGCTGGTCTGGGGTGGGGGGCCCAGTATGATGATCGTTCCTGTGGCCCATAATTTCTAACAGCACCCCGGATTTAATTAATGAATCTTTAAGCCTAAAACAGGCAGCAGGTTTTGACTTTAGCATTGAAATAAACACATGATTCATATTCTAATGACTCAGGGCTCATTGTTTAATATATCTTTAAAAAAGTCATTTTAGGTGGCTCAGTGGTTACCCCCAGACAGGGTACAACTGGATGGCTGCATGTGGGAGGTGGTTGGATGGAATCTACTTTAAAGACACGTAGTGCAAATATTGTTAATAAATATCATTGTTATGGATTTTTTTTTGTGGGTCTACAGACCGAGGAAATCATACCGAACAAATTCCCTTCACTGAGTGGCTTTAGCAGTTTTTCAACATATAAATTTTGTTTTATAAAAGATGTCGTTTTAAACTAGTAGCAACATATTTGTCGTTTTATTTTCCAGAAAGGTCAGCAAAATCAGCAACGTCCCACCCCCACAAAAATCCTCCCCAGTCCAGTCCACCAAAGTAAGTAGATCACCCACAAATACACGTCCATGTTCCCTAATCTGTGGCATCGTTTTCTCATGGGCCCTGAAAGTATCTCCTGCTCTTCAGGAAAAGTACAAGCACTGCCTGCAGCACAAGGCCTTCCGGGGCACCGTCATCGTGCTGGTGGCCATTATGGCTTTTTGGTAAGACTAGCTAAAGTACCCCTCTTCTGAAAAGATGAGCTCAGGTGGAAAGTTCAGCTCCTGAAAGTAATAATCCAGACCAATATTTTGTTTCAACCAACCAGTTGAGTGTAAAGCGTCACGGTACAGAGTACTCCACTGGTTGGTAGAAACAAAATCTAGGTTAGGATTTTTTACTTTCTGGACCTGAACTACCCACCGCTGGCAAAAGGACTGATGATTCAATGTTGCTTTTGCAGTTTAGTGTACTGTAAATGTAATTCCCTATTTAAAATGTATTTATCTGAAGCTTACAAAACTGTAGCAAATTATTGTTTTGATGCAAAATGTCGCAACAGCTTTGCTCACAGTATGCTGACTATGATCCTGTACCCTGTGCCTACAGCGTCATCTGCATTATAGGTCTGTACATGTTTACGCTGCAGAGAGACACCTCAGAATCCTCATATGGGACCAGGTACAGCTCGCTTTCAGGCCCCCTAGTGGCATCTTTTAAAGCTGCAGTTTTGAACAGCTGAGTCTTCATACAACATGGCTGGTCTTCATAGTTCACTCAAATAAATGTTTACATAAATATATATAGTCTAGTCCTGGTATTTGCTGGGTTTTGGTTCCTTGGATACACGCGAAGGGGCAAAAAAGGTGAATAATTTAAATGCTAGCAGTACAGAAAATAATGCAATATGCAACAAATGAGGGAATAACTGACATCTGTATGTATTTCATGTGCAGTAAAACCCCCCTTCCGCCGATGACCATCCCTTCAGGTAGGTCTTCAATGCCGACCTTCTCAGGTCTGAGCTTAGCGCTTTGTGTTCTGGAACCGCGTCGCACATGATGCTGAAGGGCCATCATTTCTCCACACGGCAGTGCAGGTATTTCTATTAAAAAAGAGTAGAACCTGGCTGTTTATATCCAGGGGTGTTTTTGCTGTTTCTGGGGCTCCACTCAAAGTAGAGTCAGAGTATCGTAGCTAGCTAGCTGGTTAGCAGAACACGCTGCTTCAGCATCTCCAGTATTAGGGACTCGTTTGTTTAAATGTTAGTGTGGTGACTGTTTGTGGCCAATAGGGGGCACCCAAACCTCGCTTTGTTTTGAGTGCTGGTAAACACCGCTATGGTTTTATCTCTTAGAATGATGTCATTCGGTCTTAGGGAGCTGGGCAGCTCCTAACCCTATGTTTATGTGTGCCACACACAGTCACTACCGTTCCCTCGACCCCGGGACCTTGGCCCCCAGACGTGGGTTTCTGCAGCCTGCTCTACTGTGAGGAGGTGTACTGCTGTCCCACAGAATCTGGCAACCTGAGCTCCCCCTACACTGAACCCATCCTCTCATACTCGCCCCCCAGTGCACAAGGTGAGCATGTACATTAGCTCTGGGAATAAGTCTGAGTCCCCACGAAGGTCCTCATTTCCCCCGGGTGCTCCCAGCAGGCCATGTGGCATGCCGACATCCAATCCATGCACAGTCATGGATATTTTCAAGTTACATAACTTTACTACTTTCCTTTTCAACCGAAACTGAAATTTGTGCGGAAACTAAATTATACCGTCTGAGCTGAATATATTGCTTGAAAACACTGCTGCACTTTTGATGTTGTCTAACCGCAAAGACGTGGCTTAATTAGCACACTGCTGTCGGCACATTGACACTAAGGGTTTATTTACTGCCGGCTATGTGATCAAATATGAACACTGTAATATACAATAGAAACATCATTTTAATAAACTTGTATCAATACTTAAATATAACTCTGAAGGTATGCTTTATCTTTGTTTTCCAAGACAAAAAGAGAGAACTCCTGTTTGACAATTTCAACGGTGCCAAAGACTGTAAGTTGGAATGAGTCTCTTGGACCTAATTATTGATGGTCACATGCCTGACTACTGAATTGTACCTTTATATACTTCATAAAACCACTCTTTATTCATATATAGGGACAAATACAACTGTTAAATCCATATTTATCAAAGAAAATCAACAAATTATTGACCATCACTACTGTGTGGAAGGCAGTTGCGGGTAAGTTGCAAAAAAACGGTACCAAATCTCATTCAGCATGATCCCCTCATAGCACCGATTATATAATATTAATTGCAATATTTTCTGATTAGTAATACTCAGTAATACTTTTCTTGTAAGACCAGTAAACATAAATTCAAATCTTTGTTTTAGTAATTTATCGTACAGTTCTTTATTTATATTAATTATAAATGAAAAAATAACTTTAATGACTGGTAGTTGATACCTGTTAGTATCAGTACCGTTTATTACCAGAAGATGGAAATAAAATCTAGTTCGTTTTTATCCTTAAAAGTGTATATATGTCATTGCAGCCAAACTAGCAAAAGGTGACAGAACCCAAAAGACCAGGATTGTCTCGAAACTCTGCACCGTAGTTTGTCCTTATAAATACCACATGTTTGTCATCAATCTGCAGGCCGGGGAACTACAGCTTCTCGATCCCCATCAGCAAGTTTGTGCCTGTCAACATGCCGATCACCATCCAGATGAAGTGAGTGCAGGTTCTGCAGCTATCACCAAGGTCATGAAAAAGGCTCCAAATTATTATCGAACCCGTTTATTCAGGATGTAATCATAGCACAGTGTATTTAATTCATCTCAGAGGTGGAAAGTTCAGATCCCAAAAGAACAAATCCAGACCAAGGTTTTGTTTCAACCAAGCAGTTGAGTATAAAGAGTCACGGTCATATAGTATTCAGCTGGTTGGTTGAAATAAAACCTGGGTCTGGATTTGTACTTTCTGGACTTGAACTTTCCACCTCCGATTAATCCTGGGGTGAAATGGAAAACATTGAAGTGAAATGTTGAAGAAATATATGAAGCGTGGTTAAAATATAACTAGGAAACTTAACACTTAATGATGTAATAAATTATCCCGGATAAGATGTTGGAAGATGGATGGATGGATATTGTTTTATATATATTTGTAGAAATTGTCTGAATATTCATGGGAAATGAATAAGTAAATATTAATGGTAAAAGTAAATATGAAGTGGAAGATAACAAAAAAATGAGATGAAGGAGAATGTGGGCCAGTGTGAGTCATTGGTGAGCATGCTTACTGTGCCTGCTTGGGGAAGCCCCCAGGTCACGGGGGGGGGGGGGGGGGGGGGGGGGGGGGGGGCTTGGTATCAGCAGCAGTTTGCAGACAGCCTCCTTTAGGAATGCAGGATGCTACGATGGGAGGGTTTAACCAGGCCGCCCTGCGGGACCGTGAGGAAAGGAAGGCAGTATGTCAAACGAGATTAGTCACACAGAGACGTGAGTCATACAGAAACGCACGGCGAAAATAAATAAATTACCTAGAGAGTAAATAAAGTGAGCTGTCAACACCAGTAATGTTAACTTCAGAAGCTTGGATTCATTGGCCAAGGATTCGAAAATCAGAGGTTGAAACCAGTAATCGGCAAACAAATGTGAAGTTCAATTCCCCAGGCAGCTTATATCAGTGTTTCCCAATCCGGTCCTCGGGGACTCACAGCCGGTCCACATTTTTGCTCCCACATTTTTGGGTGTGTACTGTCTTGTGGGTCCCCAAGGACCGGATTGGGAAACACTGGCTTAGATTGATAAAGTTTTTTCAATGTTTTCTCAGCATTGCTCTCAAAGCAAAGGTCTCCTTATGGTAATTTCTTGCTGATCCAGGGAGCATATCTCCTCTCAACCTTCCTTACTTTTACTCCACCTTTACATTTGTTTCTGTTTTCTGCATTTCTCTCGTCTCTTCACAGCACCACTGAGCTTCTGGTGGTCCACCTGTGCCACATCTATGACACCAGCACCTGCTCTGCCCTGAGGATCAGCAATGTGGGCAGTTCAGCCATAAGCAACACGCAGGTGCGCCATCCCCGTGCTGCCAGACTGGGTCTGGGATTATCCACTGTCCGTTTCCATGACCCTGAGCCTGTCCCCAAAGCATTCAGCAGGGGGCACCCTGAACAGGGTGCCAGTTCTCCACAAGACTCACTGCAGACAATATTGAGCCATCGGTTCACCCACCTGCATGTTTTCGTACTGTTAGAGGAAACTCACACAAATGCGCAGGGAACATGCAAACTCCACACATGCATCACTTATTTTCCTTGTATTTCAACTGATCTGGGATCAGTTCTGAACAACAGACTGCCTGCTGCCTCGTCCATCTGCCCCCTCCTTTTGAAAGATGAGCAGATATGCGAGTTTGGGTGTTGATCACTTAGCACATGTACAGAGGTCATGGATGCAGGGGGTGGTACCTTCCTGCAATTCTGCCCATGGGGGCTTAAGAGTATGTAGCAGAAGCTGGGCGATGGGGCATATAGCTGTAGTTAACAGCCCCGGCATTTACCACAGTGCCAATCCAGTCAGCCTCTAACTGCTTTTTCTGGGTGTGTCCCTGTGGTCTCTGTGCTTTCCTCCAGGGCTACAACCACGAGTGGCCGTTGCCGGTGGCCCGGCTGCATCAGAGCTCCTTCCACTTCCGGACCACTGTGGCGGTAAGTGCCAGAAAAAAACCCCAAAAAAAAACACGTCAAATTCCAAAGCTCACCGCAGTCCGTTAGCCGTAAGCAAACCTTTAATTGGTGCTTCACGGCTCATTTGCTGAGAGATCACGGGTCCTTGCACTCCCCAAGGCTTCATTTAGCAACTGTATCGTTTCAGTAATTTGGGATTAGTTCATGGGTCAGGGCTATAATTTAATCTCACCCCTGGCTCCACAGGACTGAAAGAGCTTTTTGATTCGATTCCAATTCCTCTAAGCTCCTCAGTGATTCTGCACGGAGTGGCAGAAAGCCTTCTCCGATGGACCAGACAGAGCATAGAGGCCAGAGACTTAAGTTATAAGCAATATGGATCTTTTTATATACCAAATAGAAACATATATCTGTTTAAAATACCTGTGTATGAAATGTGTGGTTCTTCCTGCATTTTTATTGATTTCCTTTTTTTTCCAAAGCAGTGGCGTGTATTTAATCAGATGTAGGAGTCGTAGGTCACGCTGTTTACGTGGCAAAAAGGCCTGTCAAATATCCACCATGGGGAAACCTGTCCCAAAAGGATGTGGGGGGTAGTGTGCACGCTTTGCCTGGTGCTCTTTCTCTTCCAGCGCAGATGTGGAGCTCCCAAAATACTTCTCCAGCCAGCAGTGTGTAGGGCAGCTGTTTCTCCTCTTTCCTGTTGTGTCTATATTATTGTTTTTTGTTTGTTTTTTTTTTAGGGACAGGCTGACTGCACTACCGACGCCAACTACATGGAGGCGCTCTTCACAGATTACCACTTCCACTTCTACCGCAGATGTGACTAGCCTCCATCCAAGCCCCCCCCCCCCTCGCTACAAAAGTAGCCAAGCCCAAGGACTCTGACCGAATGGTTCCCTGGAATGTACCATAAGGCCTAATGGGGGCGTTTGGTTGTATTAAGAATCTTCTCTCCTGTGTCCCTGTCAGGCCCAGATTTATTGTACAGAAATCAAGTGGGCATTTCTGTTGTGTCTCGGTACAAAGGCCTATTTATGAATGTGGGGATACTTCTGGATTGCCTGGTGAAATTATACATCTCTGACTGTTTCTTTTGCTGTAATGGCAAAAATATGCAAAGGCAGTCCTTCAGAAAGAGTTTCAAACAGTCATGCAATTACAGAAATGCTCCTTCTGAAATACTGATAATTTAAATATTTGCTGTAATGTGGAGACAGTGAGAAAATGAATAACAATGTGTTATTTTTTTCTAAATAAGATTTTTGAGGTTACAGGTAAAGCCAGAAACACCCGAAGGTTTTAGATGTTAAGTGCTTTCATCTTCCTGATGGATTCAGATTCAATGCTATTAATTAATAATTTGTTAATATTTTCAGTCTTTTTTGAATCCTTGGGGTATTTCTGTGTATAGGCATAAACATGACAAGTCATATTTTTCTGGCTGAAATACAAGGAAAGTGATGTATTAAACGGTTACAAATTTTGACTCCTTTGACCCATGATGTGAGACACCAGTGATGTGTCTTTTTTGCCCATTCAGCAGAGTGTTCAGTCCTAATACATTGTTACTGTATAAATCCCATTGTGGAGTGTCTGTCTTTAAAGACCTAAGTGGCGAAGGACATGATTCCAAAGCAAGGATGAAATTGATGGAAATACTGTAGCCTTGTGTGAGGTGATTAACCAAAATGGCTTTAGCGGTGCATAACGCTATGATAACCTTGGCCAGATAACATAATGCAACGACTGAGAGGGAAGTGGCCTTTTTCAAAAACTTGTTCTACCTGTATGTTGATTGCAATCTGGTAATTCCACCCCAGAGGTGACATCACACACCTACTGACACACACACACGTTTGTCTTCATATCTTTGTGGGGACCGTCCATTCATTTCCGTGGGCATAACCCTAATCCCAAAAATGACAATCTTAACCCCTTCCCAGCCCTAACCTTAACCATCCATCCATCCATCCATCCATCCATCCATCCATCTATCCATCCATCCATCCATCCATTTTCTGTATCTGCTTGCCCTACTCAGAATCTCGGCAAGTTCAGAGCCAGGATGGGACAGACCTTAACCATAAGTAACCAAACAAAAGACCTTGTGGGGACCGAAAAGACAGCCCCCCCCTCATCAAAATAGCAGGTCTTTATCACGTTAGTTGGATACACAAACACACTATTACAATACATTTATTTATCAAACGCTTTTATCAAAAGAAACGCTTCAGAAAGGAGGGTCAGCCAGTCCCTGGAGCAATTGAGGTTACGGGTGACATCACTCTACCAGCTGTGGGATTTGACCCAGCAACCTTCTAAGAGCGGGCACAGAGTCCCCACAGAGTCACCCCACAGACTAATGAGCCTGCAGTGGTGTGTGGTTAAGTGTAGCCTACGGATCACAGATGTGCAGGTTTTGACAGTTGAGCAGTGGGATCGTTAAACACAGAACGTGACGTTTTGGTCTGAATTCAATCAATGTCCTCTCCCTTGAGTTGGCTCCTGAAACTCAGTCTGCCGGTGCCAACATGCTACTGGTGCCAGACGCTTAATGGACTTCAATCCTGACGGGACGCTTCAGGGCGACCTTACCTGTACCGGTCACTCAAGCTCTTCTTACAGGAACATGATTCACAGAGACTGCAAAGCAGGTCCTGGCATGTGATAGCTGTGTCAGCAAAACAATCACTAACAACGTGATTTTAATCTTGCAAAATTAATCCTTACTATGGCTTGATGTTCACAATAAAATCTGTTTATGAGGTAATATAGCATCTGGGTAATCTAACAGTGGAAGACAGTGACGAAGTCGAGGTCGGTCATGCAGTCCGTCACAGGGTGCCTTTATTTATTTAGCAGATGCTTTTATGTAAATTGATGAAAGCAGAGTAAGTCAGTTCCCAGAGGGTTAAGGGCCCAATAATGACATCACTTTGATGACATCACTTTGATAAGAGATTATGTCTTTGTGGGGACCTGAAAAATGGTCCCCATAACTTCAAAATAACAGGCTTTATTATGTTGTGGGGAACAATTGGTCCCCACAATGTAATATAAACATAATCCACACGCACACAAACACGCACACACACAGAAAGCAGGATTTGAATTCCTGACTCCAGGCCACCATGCTGCCATACTCTGCTATTGAACATCCTGCTGCTTTCTAAATGGGCGGCACGGCTCTCCTGGGGGGAGGGGGGGCTGTTTTTTACAGCTTTATCGGGTTAATGAATCATTTAAAAGCCATTACAGCTGACACTTTTGGTGCACAAGGCCTGTGGAGGTCGGAGGAACCATCAGTTACTGCTGTACAGGGGTGGTACTAGTTCGTTTTTTAAGGGGGGGGGCAACAAGAGAGGGGCCATAATTCATATAGAGGGGCCAATTTTATCATTAGCTAATGGCATTTTGAATCGGTGAGACAGGGGAGTGGGAACTCCAGGGACCAATCAGCTTTTAGCTGAGGCCAGTGCCCCTGTGGCCCCACCCCTATATGACCACTTGCTCCTGAGGACCTCCTGAGGACCTTCTAAGGACCTCCTAAGGTGAAATGGTTTCTCGGCCACTGAGTGAGAACAGTTATGCCAGACACATGTCTAGTTAACGTTAGAAGCCTCATCATCCAGCCTAACTGAGCTCTCTCTTCATATGCGAGGAAGAATGTCAAAAGTTTTGTCTGAAGCCCCTGTGGGCCAGAATTTATGGGATTCTGAAGCATCCCCCAGTGGCACAACGTGTAACGACCTCCCACTGTGCGGTCTGTCCCCCACAGCGCCCCCTTTCTCTCTGGCTGTTCTGTGCACCACTCTTGCGCCGCCTCCCTCTAATTTGAGCCGAATGGAACTCGGGGCTCCGATTTTAAGCCCAAGGCTGAACGGCTCATGTTGCACGGCTATATCCATCAGTGCCGGCCTGGATACTGAGTGGAGGATCGGGCTGAACACGCTGGGCTTGAAGCAGGATGCATTTTAATATCAAAGCGAGGGAGGGTTTATGACCATAATTACGCTGGCATGGCAACCATGTTTGACTGATTGGCCATGGGAGCCCGGGTTTGACAGCACACAGCCGACCGTAGCAAATGTTTCCCAAAATGAAAATCAAATGGTGATGAGATCAGTACACAAGTTCTCATGTTCTTTGATGGTTTCACTGCTTTACTGCTTTTTCATCCATGTTGGTTCTAGATACAAAAATCTGTGTGTATATATATACATATATATAGTATATACACTACTGGCCAGAGGTTTGGGCCCATCCTCCAATTAAAAAAAAAATGCTGCTTGTTCAAACTTACATTACTAGAAAATATTAGAAATACTTAAAACAAATGTAACTAACTGGTTTTGAAGTGTAATGTAGCAAATATACATTGTAAGTGCAATTCAATGAATGCGAGTGTCAAAGTAAAAGTTCCATCAAAATAACCAGCCCTTGCCTTTATCAGCACAGATTCTCAGCATCATTTCCAGCATTTATTGGAAATAGCTTGTATCCAAACCCTCCCAGCGCCTTTTCAAGTATGCAAACACTTCTGTCTCATTTGCTTGATGCTTATTTTAAACCGGTTGGTCCAACTCGTCCCAGGGATGGACTTTCGTCCGTCCGCAAGACCTGCTCCCCGTACTCCAGCGTTCGTGTTGTTTAGCCTATAGTCTCTCTTTCTTATTAACACCACGAAGTAAAGGTGTACTTAATCTTCCAGTCTCTTTTGCTGCGTCACAGCTGAGTGTTGATCTTCAGCCTTTGATGTCACTTCCTGTGCCCCAGGCTGTTGCTTCCTGTCAGCCTTTTTCTCCGTAAACAGTAGGTCACTCCATGCTTAGAAACATTCAACTATTTGCCGATGAGACCCTTCTTCACTCAAAATTTTGATTTGAGCCCTGACTTATCAGTTATACAGTACAACGCAGGATTGAAATGAGGAGCGGACAGCGCATTAAACCTCTCATAACCTAATCTGGGAAAAGACAGACAAGTGGCTATCATTTAATTTATTAAGACACAGTCACGAGAGACCAAGGGCAAATCAAGTTCGGACATTAGTAAATAGTAAATTCCAACACAAAGTGTCAATGCACCAAAGACAGACCTGATATGTCTTCTTCAAAACCAATGGTTTCAGCCTTTGTGGCCAAATAATCTGTTACTACAAACTATAAAATACTGAAAACCAGACAATTAGATTTATTTTAAGTATTTCTAATATTTTCTTGCAATAAAAGTTTAAGAAAGCAGTCTGTCATTTGTTTTTTTTTTTAATCTGAGGGTGGGCTCACACTTCTGGCCTGTAGTGTATACACACACACACACACACACACACACACACACACACACACAAAAGTGGCCTCCTGAGATGCTTTCCCAGCTGTCCTGAAGGAGGTCCCACATATATGCTGGGCATTTCTACTTCTAGGTCAGGTGGCCAGGTCATGTGACGTGGCCTGATTACTCTCCTTTATAGGCTTCTTGGCGTGTCCAAACCTTTGACTGATACTGTATATATACAGTACATTTAGTAAGGACACAATTCTTTAAATATAATAATTATGTAATCATCCATCCATCCATCCATCCTTCTTCTAGCTGCTTATCCTGGTTATTTTGGCTTGGGGGGGCATGTGGTGCCAATTCCAGGCAGCACAGGGTAAAGTTGGGGTATACCCTGCCAGGGTACCAGTCTGTTGCATTTACATGGTAATATTTAAGAATAATATAACATTTGACAAACTTTACTCTGTAATCTGAGGGGTTACAGAACTTTGCAGAAGTAACGTAGATGACCGGTTTGTGGGAGATATTATTATCCCAGGTTTAATAGCTGAAGTTCGGAGAAATACAGCTAGCCTGATACACAGTTTGTCCGCGCAAAGAGGTCTCGTTCCGCACCAGCCGGACGCAGGCAGGCTTAGCAGGCCTTCCTCTAAGTGGCAATGGAGAACACAGAGTGTTTACCACCCTCCACTGCAGCTGGGGGTAAATGTTACCTTATTGCTAATTACTGCGCTGCTGCATTGTGGAGGTTGTTCTGCTGGGGAGCCACGGCTGCGGTGTTCCTGGGGCAGGTGGGGGGTGAGATTGATGGGGGCAATGCAGGTAGTGGCCCCCTGAGGGCTGAGGGACAAGCATAATAGACAGCCACGGCGCTGGGGAGGGACTTGGATTGAGTGGGAATGAAATAGTAGTGGTTCTCTCACCTGGAGGCTGCTGCAACGCAGTGATTCAGCGCAGTGACTGATGAACATTTGTGGATATTTCTGGATCAAAACACTGGCTACTGAAGATTAAACACTGAGTAGTTCCTGTTAATTCATTTTATAAAATCTATGATAAATGACTTTCAGTACTAGAACTTAATGGCAGAAAACCAGAAATGAACAGACCGATATCAGTTTCAGCTGTACGGATGGGTAAAGGTTTTCTTGCTTTTTCAATTTAGTGGGGCCGCTGAACGTGAAAAATTATAATTTATACACTCGCGGAACTTTATGTCTCTGCTTGGCATGTTCTACTGTGTTCGGTAC